CCATTGCTGTATTTACCTTTAGTAAAACTTAACTCACATGGAATATCAGTGATATTGCCCGATGATTTCCACATTCCATTGGGTCACCTCTTTATGGAATGGGCACAAATACAGATTTTTTCCAGTCAGTTGGCAAGGTAGTTGTTTTCCAAATTTCTTTGCATAGGTGAGTATCTCCAGTGCCGCCTCACTTCATTGAAATATTTCAATTTGTATTTCATCAATTCTTGACACCTTCTCTTTGCCAAAGCCTTCAATGCACCTTGGACTTCTTCATTCAACATCATTGGCTCTTGATCATATGCTGCCTCTTGAAATGGCTGAACACTGATCATTTCTTTTGATACAGTGACTCTGTGTATTCCTTCCATCTTCTTTTGATGCTTTCTGCATATTCAGTATTCTGCCCACAGAATCCTTCAAAACTGCAGGTTGAGGTTTAATTTTCTTCTTCAGTTCCCTCAGCTTCAGAAATGCTGAGTGTATTTTTTTTCCTTTTGTTGTTTTTTTTTTTTAACTTGAGGTTCTTTGCACATTTTGTTATATTTAACTTTGTCTTCTCGAGGTGACCTTAGAAATTTTCTGTTCAGTTCTTTGTCTCCTTACTTCTCCCATTTACTTAAGCATCTCTACACCAGAGGGCAAGTTTCATAGTTTCTTCTGACATCCATTTTGGTGTTTTCCTTTTCTCTTGTCTTCTTAATGACCTTTTGCTTTCTTCCTGTATGATGTTCTTGATGACATCCCACAACTCTTCTGGTCTTTGTTCTTTAATGTCTAATGCTTCAAAATCTGTTCTTCAGATGTTCTCTAAATTCAGATGGTTTATGTCATATTTTGACTCTCATGGACTTGTTTTCATTTTCTTCAGCTTCAGTCTGAATTTGCATATGAGCAATTGATGGGCTGTTCCACAGTCGGCCCCTGGCCTTGTTTTCTTTGATGATATGGAGCTTTTCCATGGTGTCTTTCCACAAATTTAGTCAATTTAATTTCTGTGTAGTCCATCTGGTGAGGTCCATATGTATAAATCTTCCGTTTTTAAAAAAAAGATATTTGCAAAATGAAGAATTCAATGGCCTTGCAAAATTCTATCATGCTATCTCTAACATCATTTCTAGCACTAAGGCCATATTTTCCAACTACTAATCCTTCTTTTTGTTTCCAACCACTGCATTCCAATTATCAGTAATTATCAATACTTCTTGATTACATGCTTGATCAATTTCAGATTGAAGAAGTTGATAGAATTTTTCAATTTCATCATCACTGGCCTCAGTGGTTGGTGCATAAATTTGAGTAATAGCGGTATTAACTAGTCTTCCTTGCAGACACATGGATATTATCCTATCACAGAGAGTGTTGTACCTCATTACTACTTTTGAAACATTCTTTTTGATGATGAATGTGACACCATTCCTCTTCAATCTGTCATTTCCAACAAAGTAAAAAATGAGAATGTCAGATTCAAAAGGGTCAATACCAGTTCATTTCAGTTCACTAATGCCTAGGATGAGTCCGGTGCTGTGGGCTAAAGCGTCAGACTACAAAGTCGTTAGAACTGTAAGGTCGGTGGTTCAAGCTCACCAGCTGCTCCTTGGAAACCCTATACAGGGGTCGCTATTGGTCAGAATCGACTCCACAGCACTTAACAACAACGTCTAGGATATCGACATTTATACATTCTACTTCATTTTTGACAATTTCCAATTTTCCTAGATTCATACTTCATATATTTCATGTTCCAATTAGTAATGGAGTTTTACAGCTGTTTCTCTTCATTTTGAGTTGTGCCCCATCAGTATACACAAAAGGACCCAGCTGTAGTGTTGAAACAATTTTAAGACCCCAGCCTGTTTATACTAAACTTGTTTTGCAGAAATGGAGAACTACCAGTCCCCACTGATAAGACACTAGCTTATTTTGCAGAACTTCTGTCACAGGAATGGAGAACAGTGGCCTCACTGAAAAGCGACTCACTAAGCTCCTCACAAGTCCTATACAGTGTTGCTGAGTCAGAGCCAACTCTATGGCACTTAACAACAGCTACTAAACTCTGCCCAGTGGCCAGAAATGTCCACCACCCCACCCACCCCCATGCTGAGCAATGAAGACTACCATTAATCACCTCCCAATAACTTGTTATGCACACCAAGATGGACAATATCTTAAACCACCTCCCAATTAACCTAGAGGAAATCATCACTCAATTTGTGAAATGCCTCCCCATTCTACAAAGCCCCATTGCCTTCCCCCTTATTAACCCAATAAAAGTCCTAAACACCAGACCATCAAGGCCAGCACTGTCTTGTGCTAATAAGCCCCTTTACTCCCTTAGAGCTCCCTACTTTGTACCACCAAACTAATTAATTCTTTAATATTTTTCTTCTACACCATAACTGAATTACGATCTTCCTTACTCACTGTTCAATTTTCGATTGCAGATGTTGTTGTGTTGTTGTGAAGTGCTGTCGAATCGATTCCAGCCCATAGCGACCCTGTATAGGGTTCCCAAGGAGCAGCTCGTGAGCTTGAACCGCTGACCTTGCAGTTCAACGGATTTTCAGTCTGGCACATTAACCCACAGCACCACACCAGGATTCCAATTGCAGATGTTGTTTTGTTAGGTGCCATCAAGTCAGTATCAATACGGTTTGGGTCAGCTGCACCTTAGTCCTCAAACTAACATCTTTGTTCTTCAACACTTTAAAGAGGTATTGTGTAGCAGATTTGCATAATACAATACTTTCTTTGATTTCTTAACTGCTGTTTCCATGAGCGTTGATGGTAGATCCAAGCAAAACGAAGCCTCTGACAAGTTAAACTTTTCTCTGTTTATCATGATGTTATTTATTGCACCAACCCAAAAAATATAATCAATGTCACTGAATTGTACATGTAGAAATTGTTGAATTGGTGTGTTCTGCTGCATATATTTTCAATGAAGCAGCTCTGGTAGCATAGTAGTTACAAGTCGGACTGCTACCCTCAAGGTCAGCAGATCAAAGCTACCTGCCGTTCTGTGTAAGAAAGATGAGGCTTTATGCTCCTGTAAAGATTTATAGTCTCAGAAACCCTATGCAGGGTCGCTATGAGTTAGAGCTGACTCCATGGCACACCACCACAACAGAAAAATACCTATAGCTAATATTATAGGAATCAAATTCAGTTTGTAAAAGACTGAATGCCTTCCCACAACTATCAAAGAAGAAAGTAAGTATGTCTACTCTCACCACTTTTACACCTAGCAGGTAAAGTGCTCACCAGTGAAATAAGGCAAGAATACAAAATTTAAAGGAATAGTCTAGAAAGAAAGAATATTTATTTATAGATAAAACGACTGTATTTATAGAGCATTCCAATAAATCTAAGAGAACTCAGAAGTAGTAAGTGAGAGCTCAGCAAAACTGCAAAATACAAGATTTGCAAATGAAAATATTAGCATTACTCTATATTCACAAGCCTGCAAAAACCAAAATTAAAACATAGTTATCATTTACAGTTACTCCAACGAAAATTAATACTTAGATGTAACATAACAAAACATGCTTATGCATTGCTGTGTGCCATGGAGTTGGTTCTGACACATATCAACCCTATGGGCAGAGTAAGTACTGCCCCCAGAGCGTCCAAGGCTGTATGTATTCTTTTCATATTTGTGAACCATCATCTTTTCAAATCTGCCACATCTTTTTACCATGGAGCAACTGGTAGGTAGGTTTAAACCATCTACCTTTTAGCTATCAGCTAAGCTGCTAACCACTGCACCACTATGGCTCTTTATAACAAAACTTGCACAGGCTCTGTATGCTGAAAATTATAAAACCCAAATCAAATTAATGCAGTAAATAAACAAATGGAGAGACACAGTGTATTCATAGATGAGAAGACTCAGCATTGTAAATACGTATGCCAATTCTCCCCAGACAGGTTCAGTGCAATTCCTATCAAAATACTAGCAAGGTTCTTTGTAGATATATACAATCTTATTCTAAAATTTTTGTGAAAAAAACAGGTCGTACAATAACTAAAATTACTTGGGGGGGAAAGAAAGATTAAAGTGGGAAGAATTCAGTCTACCAATAGCCAGGCCAGAATATAGCTATAACAATCAAAGTGGGAAGAATTAGGTATGCCAACAGCAAGGCCAGAATATAGCTATAACAATCAAAGCAATAAAGAATAGCTGCAAGTACAGACACATAAATCAATGGATTAGAATAGAAAACCTAAAAATAGAGACAAATGTGTCCAACTGATTTTTAAAACAAATATAAATAAACAGTTCATTGGAGAAATGACAGATGTTTCAACAAATTAAGCTGAAGTAATTGAACGTCCACGGACACATAATAAATTGGCCTAAACCACACATCTTTTATAAAGACAACATCTAACTGGATCAATATGTAAAATTTTAAATGATACCACTTTCAGAAAAACAAAGAGAAAATCTTCATTTCTAGCATTAGACAAAAAGTTCTCGGATTTGACTCTGAAACTAAGAACCAGAAAAATGAAGATTTATAAACTGGATGTCATCAAATTTAAAGTATTTTGTTTTGTAAAAGATCCCGTTTAAAGTATGAAAAGGCATGTTACAGACTGAGAAAATATTTGCAAACAACATAAAGAAAATGCAGTAAATGGATTTCCCTGAGTAGAAGATATTGGGGGTAGGGTTTTATTTCATTCCCAAAAACTATAATTAGATGAGTTACAAGGCACTATCTAAATCACAGTCTTGTACCTTTAAGAAGGACATAAAAATAACAGGTATCTGTGTAAATGATTATATTAAGTAATTGATCAGTAAATACTATATATCTTCAATAAAAGAATATTAACGACCAAAGTCATTTTCTATAATACACTGATTTTGCGCTTATTTTTAAGTGCATATATTTATATTTGAGTACAACATTAAATAGTGTATGTATCTTAAATATGTAAGGTTGGGGGAACAATAATTTCTAAAACTTAAAATATTCATAAATTACCTGCACACAGAACACTGGCGCTGAGGCTGAAGAGCAGTGAACATAACAATCATAGAGTAGTTTCGAGGTGGTGCCTTTATAAATTTCCGGAATTTATCACCATTCATTCGGAAGATTGAGCGCCTGGAACTCCATTCCATCAGCTGCTCTACTTTTTCTGCTAAAAGATTCTAAAATTAAGCATAGGGTAAAAGTTCTTTAGTTTGTGTTCCATCTAAACAGAATTATTTAAGATTTTATTTCACATAAAACTAATTTGTTAAAAGTCCACTGCAGTGAATATATTCATTGTAAAGTGACAATATATGCATAAAATATTTCATTGTAAATTCACCAAATATACATTAAAAAGAATCATGTTCCTTCATGATTTCAAAGGTTTTTAAAACAGACATCAGAAGTAAACAATAAATTCAGGTTTCAGAGAGTTGGAGTAGATGTACTTCTCCCTAGTTCTCTGAGTAAATTTAGCTTAAAATTCTGGCCAATAATATTTTTACAAAAAGCAAAATGACACTGAAAGGTGGAAACAAACAGGCAGATTAACTAGGGACTAATGAATCTTGGTGTGGTGCTGTGGACTAACTTTGCTGTGTTCAAACTGCAAAGTCAGTTTGAACAGCAAGGTCGGCAGTCCTTCACCAGCTGCTCATCGGAAACCTTATATAGGGTCACTATGGGTCAGAACAAACTCAAAGGCAGTTAGCAACAACAACAAGAAATCCTGGTGTGGCACTGAAAGATAAGCATTAGACTGTAAGGGCGATCTGAACTACAAAGTGGCAGTTCAAACCCACCAGCCCACCTGCTCCTCAGAAACCCTTATATAAGGCCATTGTTGAGTCGGAACACGGTGAATCCATTCACACACAGTTTTATACTAATATAATGGAATACCACCATAGTCACTGGAGTGCTAGTGTGGCACTGGGGGATAAGTACTGCACTGCTAACCAAAAGCTCAGAGGTTCAAACCCACCAGCTGCTCCTTGGAAACCTATAGAGTCCTTATGAAGTGGAAACAAGTGGAGGGCACTTAACAGCAACAACAACTTACAGCCATTTAAATGGACAGTCTACATTTGCATACAGCAAGATGGTGATGATGACTGTATGTCATAGAGTCACTTCTGACTCATAGCAACACTGTATAGGGTTTCTAGTGCTGCATATCTTTATAGCAGCAGAAAGCCTCATCTTTCTTCATTACAGAGGCTGGTAAGATTTGAACTCATGATCTTGTGGTTAGCAACCCAGTTCATAGCCCACTACACTACCAAGGATCAATATAGCAACATGGTTGTTGTTCTTCTTCTTGTTATTAGGTACCATCGAGTCAGCACAAATTCATAGCAACCCTATGCACAACAGAACTAAACTAGGCCCGATCCTGGGCCAACCTCACAATTGTTGCCATGCTTGAGCCCACTGATGCTGCCACTTGGTCAATACATCTTGCTCTGAGTCTTTCTCTTTTTCTCTGACCCTCCACCTTATCAAACATGACATCCTTTTCCAGTGACTGATCCCTCTTGAAAATATGTTCGAAGTATGAGAGACGAACTTTGGCCATCCTGGCCTCCAAGGAGCACTCTGGCTGTACTTCTTCCATCACAGATTTGTTGGTTCTTTTGGCAGCTCATGGCACTTTCAATATTCTCCTCCAACACCATAACTCAAAAAACATCAATTCTTCTATGGTCTTCTTTATTCACTTGTCAAGTTTCCATATGCATATGAGGTTATTGAAAATACCATGGCTTGGGTCAGGCACACCTTAGTCCTCAAGCTGACATCTTTGCTCTTCAACACTTTAAAATGGTCTTGGGCACAGCCTAAGTGCCCACCAATGGAAGAATGGATAAACAAACTGTGGTACATACAAACAATGGAATGTTATGCTAACTTGAAGAACAACAAGGTAGCTAGCTGTAAGCTATCACATAACATGGATGAACCTTGAGGACATTATGCTGAGTGAAATTGTTGTTGTTATGTGCCGTGGAGTAGGTTCCAACTCATAGTGACCCTATACAGGGTTTCCAAAGCTGTAAATCTTTACGGAAGCAGAAAGCCTCATCTTTCTCCCATGGAACAGCTGGTAGTTTCAAACTGCTGACCCTGAGGTTAGCAGCCCGATTAGTAATCACTACACTACCAGAGCTCTTTGAGTGAAATTAGTCAGTCACAAAAGGAGAAATACTGCATAGGATCACTACTATAAAGAATAAGAAAAAGAACCCATACTAAAGTGGCAGGGGGGGATTCTTTGCTGGTTACAAGAATGTCAGGAGTGGGGTGAGGAGAGGGAGGGGAAGGTGGAGCATAGGGTACGGAATAGACACAAGATAATTTCGGTACTATGGACAAGGGCAATACACAAGAATGGGGAGGGGAACGGAAGAACAAGGCAGATGGGAAAACAATTAGGCAGGTTTGCATGGGCTAAGCAGGACAGAGGTAAATAATGACGTCTGCACAGCCTTGGAACAACAGGGCCCTGGGACACAGCAATTGAGACATGGTTGGAATGGGCAAAAAGAGGGAAATAATGTTAAGATGCTTGGCTGTCTTTTGAATCTTGGTTTTCCTGGCATACCATTATAAAATAGACACTGGAGGGGAGAGAAAGTAATAACCAGAAATATCATCATAGAAAGCTTGTAAGTCCGTCTCCTGACTATAACTGATTGGAATACCTAAAATGGGGCTACAATGTGCCCAGTGAAGGAGGCTTCCTGTGGAGCCTCTGCATTACATAAGACCATAGGTGGAATCCTGATCCCCATCCAGAATCTTCTGAGGTGGGAAATTTCCACTTGAAAGGACAAGCAGACCAACCTGGAGAGACTAGATAAACAGAAGATACTGCTTGAAAGAAAGACCAACAGGAAAACTACAAAACAATAACAGCAGTCCTACTGACTACTACAAGAACAAGCAAGTTGCTCACCCAGGAGACATCAAGGCAAGTGGTTGGGTTCCGTTAGGGCAAACCCCCTTCCAAGACTAAAACTCAATAGGAATACACGAGCAGACATGCACTCTGATTGGTGTCCACATTCATCACCAATAAGGGGAAGTAAGGGAAAAACAGCCATGAAGATGTGAGCTAAGCCCTACAAAGTTCAAGAGACTCCTGTGAACCCAGTGGAAACCCGGTTGCTCAGCAGTGTGGCAAGACCTGGGGACTCTTGGGCCCACAGTCAGTGACACAGTCACAGAGGACTAGAGTGGAGAGTGAAGCATCCAGCTGATAAGAGGAGAGGGCATATGCAAAAGAACACTCACACTTGCAGATAATACCCACTCGACCTAGCTTCAATGACTGGATGATCAGAGCTCAACTAGAAGAAGAAAGAAGGAAAAAAAAGAAAGAATAATCTGATACAATTTGATGAACTTGACCTACACTGATGGATTCAATAGCTCAAAAGAGGGAACAAATCTTTACAGCGAGGATCATTCCCACCCCCTCCATACACAGAGTACACAGGGATGGGCAACTTGGTCATTGACTACCCAATGTGAGGGGGCTACAAAAGCAAGAAGTGACTGGCTTACAAGCTTTCAAGAGGAAGGTAGAATCTCAACTGAGTAGTATCCAATCTGTCTGGGAGGGCTGATGAAAGGAGATGGGGTTAGGTCCCTTGTGGTAAAATGGTGAGTAACTGTTTTCAGGACTGATTGTGAGGGTTGGAAGTGTCAAAGTGGACGTTTTGTAGCAAAAGGAGGGGAGTGACTGACTTTGCAGTCCCGGAGCGGAGGTCCCTGGAACTATCAAGAGAGAAGAGTGGAGTGCAGGACCCTACCCAGAGAAGGAAGCAGAGATGATGACGTGGAGAGATGGAGCAGCTGGGGACTTTAGACTCAGGGAGAGGGGCTGTGTGCTGACGACCGGGGTGCAGGCTTGTAGTGTATATCCTTTGGTTGGTTGATGATGCATGGAGGGGATTGTAACCATGGCAATGAAATGATGAAACACGATAGGAGTCATGTAAAGCTTATCTTCTCCCATGTAAACTACAACATAATTCACAATAAACATTTTTTTAAAAAAATCAAAAGGGCAACATTTACCTAAGGACAAAGTTGAGAAGGGATGGGAAGGTGGGTAGAATAGAAATAGGAACTACCGAGAAAAAGAGGGATAATTGTTGTATGGAGGGAATTACAATCAGTGATATGAAACAAAGTGTATGATTCATTGAATATAAAACTGATGATCTTGTATACAAACCTTCACTCAATTCACAATAAAAAGTTTTTTTAAAAAGGTCTTGTACAGCAGATTTGCTTAATTTTAAACTATTCAGTGTTCCCATGATCTGTCTGAACAACAGCTTCTTGGTCCATGTACAGACTCCTCATGAGCACAGTTAAGTGTTCAAGAATATTCATACTTTGCAATGTTGTCCATAGTTTGTCATGATTCACACAATCGAAAGCCTTTGCATAGTCAATAAAGCACAAGTATACATCTTTCTGGTATTCTCTGCTTTCAGCCAAGATCCATCAGACATTGGCAATGATATCCCTCATTCCACGTCCTCTTCTGAATCTGGCTTGAACCTCTGGAAGTTCCCTGTCAAAGTATGCATGCAGCCATTTCCGTACTACCTTTAGTAAAACTTCACTTGCATGGGCTATTGTCCGATGATTTCTGCATTCCGTTGGGTCACCTCTCTTTGGAATAGGCACAAATATGGATCTTTTCCAATCAGTTGGCCAGATAGCTGTCTTCCAAATTTCTTGGCAGAGATGAGTAAGTGCCCCCAATGCCGCCTCACTTTCTTGAAAGATTTCAATTTTTATTCCATCAATTCCTGATGCCTTGTTCTTTGCCAATTCCTTCAATGTACCTTGGACTTCTTCCTTCAGTATCACTCGCTCTTGAGCATATGCTACCTCTTGAAATGGCTGACCGACAACCATTTCCATAAATGTAATGCTGAGTTAAAGAAACTGTAAAGAAAACAGTGCTGCTGTATGATTTTGTTTATATTAATACCAAACACAGGAAAATTAATTTACTGTGCAAAGTGAGGATAATGGTGCCTCTGTAGCAAGCAAAGGGATGGTGCAAGGGCACAGTGACTAGGCGACAACACAAGTGGAGCTGAAATTCTAGTAATATTGATTTCCTAAGTGAGAGTACAGAAGGTAACCC